GTGAATTATTAAATTCTGCCTATGATGTTTCCGAGCTTTAAACATCAACGTGAACTCAGTTACACATCCGTGCTGTGGTTGCAGTTTTTGTGGTGCAGCTGTTGGTCTGATGGACTCACCCATTGTAGGACCTTAACGAAGCCCAGAGGAACCTTCAGCACCCCAAACCGACCTCGGGTCACCAGCTGCAGACAGACAGATAAAAAAAAGCAGCAGGTAAAATATTTTCATTTTAGCAGCATGGTGAAAAACAGAAAGACTAATGACCCACTGTTCACGTGCATGTTTATTCAGGGACGTCAGATCATCAGGGTCAATAACAAAAATGACAAAAACAAAACACATTTTTATAAAAGCTTTCAGTTAGTTCATTCAAACTCTTCTCGTTTTCAAGACCCAGCATCTGTTTACATTCCAGATGTAGGGTCAAAATGATAAACTTGGTCCAGCTGGGCACCTGTAGACTCACCTTAAGATCAAATTAAAAAAATAAAAGGGATGGTAGTGGCCAGGTGATGAGCGGTGCCTGGTTTCCTCCAGACAGTTCAATCTTTATCTCATCAGACCAAAGAGTTTTGTTTCTCATGGTCTGAGAGTCCTTCAGGTGCATTTTGACAAACTCCAGGTGGGCTGTCATGCGCCTTTTATTGAGGAGTGGTTTCCAGCTGGCCACTCGACCATACAGGGCTGATTGGTGGAGTGCTGCAGAAATTGTTGTCCTTCTGGAAGGTTCTCCTCTCTCCTCAGAGCACTGCAGGAGCTCTGTTTGAGGGACCATCCCTCCCCGATAAATGTCCTTCTACCCTGATCACTAAAATTGGCCGGGCATTCATAAGAGACACCATAGGAGGGAGAGTCCTTCTTCTTATGGTTGATGTAGACTTCTATACTCTTTGGGACCTTCAGTGCTGCAGAAAGAACCCTTAGCACAAATCATAGGGTTTGTGCACATACGCAAAGTATATAGTGTAAATATAGATTAAATATGGTGTAAATGAGGTGCAGGGCCACCAGACCTAAAATTTTGGGTTGAATATAACTGAGTATTAATTCCAGTCTTTATATTATTCAGTGTATATTTGTCATAAAAACAAACACAGCGACAATGAAGCAAAGGTGTAACTCAAAGAGGAGGTGGGGGCCGATGGGTTGGATGGCGGGGGCCACCAGCTTCTACATATATCACAAACACAGACATCACAGTATGAGTACCTCATATACTCCACATGCTCTCCTAACTTCTCTATAAAGCACAAAAACAAATTGTTGCATAGTTGATGTCAACAGTTCATGGTCATTCTGCACAAATGACCGGGAGCGAGGTCAGAAAGTACCGGTAATGTGCTCCCCAGCATCCATCGAAACTGTTCAGAAAAGCGTCTATTTTAACCAGCATAGTGTCACATGACGAAGAAACACCTGCAGCTAAAATTCAGTTCATAAGGAAATTCATTCAGTTCATCTGTACTGCATAAAAATGTTAGGCTTTGGTCCCCGAGAGAAAACCGTGACTTAAACACATAGTGGACTTCTTGTAAGGTGCCCACACACACGACCACCTTAGGAATATGAACATCCAGTGTGATGCAGAGGATGGCCTCCATTAATAGTCACTGTGACTGCGCTGCTTGGACTGGTTGGTTGGACGTAATGAGCAGTCATGTGAGTTCCTGTCGCCTTTCTATCAGCTTAAAGCGTCCTGGTCATTCTCCTCTGACCTCTGCCACCAACAAGGCTTTTTACCACAGTGAACCGCCTCTCACTGGATGTTTTCTCCCTTTTTTAAGATTGTTGTCTGTAAACCTTAGAAATATCCGTGTGTCAAAGTCCCAGCAGATCAGCAATTTCTGAAATACCAACGTGGCTCACACCAACAACCATGCAACGCTCAAAGTCACTGAAATCACCTCTCTTAGACTGGATTTCTTTAAACATCAGCTTAGTTTTATTGTCTGAAAAGGTTTAGTTTTAATTTTGTTTTTATTTGTTTCAATGTCAGTTTTTTTTTTTAAGATACGTGATTTGGTTGTGCTGCAGGAAGTCATTGAGTGTGTGCAGGAATGGGAGGGGGCTCTTGTTGTTGTTGTTAGGGAGCTGGAGAGTGAGTTGTACCGGAGGACAATCCTCGGGATTAACGGCCCGTTTTTCTGTACCTCCTCAATAAACCGTGGTGAGAACAAACCTTCTGGTGCTCGAGAGCTTGCGAACGTTACAATGTATATATATATATGTATATATATATATATATAAATAAGCACAGCATGAAAAGATGGGAGCTTAATTGCGCATCACCGCGGTCAATGATCCGGCTTATATTTGTTTACCTTGAAAGCTTCAGCAAAATCCTGAATGCATCATTAAATCACACCTTAAGCTTCTTTACTTGATAATTTATCATGATCAATTTGGATAAAAGCTTTTGATTGTTAGAAGAAAGAAATATAATCGTGTTTTGTCTGTTCGTTTACACGAAGTCTCGAATCAGTGCCTTTGAAAGAAAATCAGGTTAAAAAACAAACAGAAAAAGGTCGTTATATCTTTAATCGTTTTATTTTCTTCCTGTCATGCCCAAGTGGGCACATTTCCGTCTTGAACGCAGCTCCTTTCTTCCGTCGTGTAGTTTTTGGTTTTTGTTTTACCAGTAATCCAGTTTTTTGTTTCCATAAATGAGCACACTGACCGTATTCACTGCTTTCTCCAGATCCCTGGTGTCGGGTAACGGGGTTTTCCATTGGTTTGGCTTCGGAGCGACTCCTTGGGTGTTGGTTTTCGGTGCAACCATGCTGTATCATTAGTCGGTGTAGTTCTCCAGTATGCAGGATGTAATGTGGGTGTGGCCGTCTTCGGGAATTGATGCTGGATACAGTGCCCCCCCCAACCCCCTAAACAGTTCTGTGTTTTTGCAAGCGTTGATCAGAGTTTTCCTTTTATTCTGATTTTTTCTGTGATGCAGTGATACTGCTCAGCAGGGGCGTTTCTAGGATCACACTTTAAAATCATAATGTGCCGTGCAGTTAACATTAATGGACGGTTCCGTTTTCAAACATATTCTGCCTTGTCTCACCAACCTCACATTACAGTGTTACTTTAAAAAGCAACTTAATCAGAGGGATTAACTATTGTAGTATCCAAAAAACATTTAGATCGAAAAATCAAAAATTCAATATAACAGTGCTTTAGGCTCGACCTGTTCATCAACAAATAATAAAATATTCAGTCAGTGAACTTTATTCACATGATGAACCTGAGTGGCATCCCACTATTAATCCATAGACTTTAAAATGATGTTGTCTCACCCTTTGCAGCTATAACAGTTTCAACTCTTCTGGGAAGGTTTTTCACAAGGTTTTGGAGTGTTTATGGGAATTTTTGACCATCATTCCAGAAAAACATTAGTGAGGTCAGACACTGATGCAGGACGAGCAGGCCTGGTTCACAGTCTCCGCTTCAACTATTCTGGTGGGTTCGGGTCAGGACTCTGCGCAGGCCAGTCATATTCTTCCACACCAAACTCTCTCACCCTTGTCTTTCTGGACCTTGCTCTGTTCACTGGTGCGAGGCATGTTGGAACAGGACCACCAGACTCGTCCATCGCTAGATAGAGAAGAGTGATTTGTCACTCCAGAGAACATGTCTCCACTGCACTAGAGTCCAGTGTGCTTTACTCACTGCATCTCACCCGCTGATGTAAGGCTTAGGTGCAGCTGCTCAGCCATAGAAACCCATTCCATACGGACGTTTCTTGAGCTAATCTGAGGGCAAATCGGAGTTTGGACGTCTGTAGTGACTGACTCTTGTTAGATTATAATATTATTTTATGCCATGTTATACCCCTAACTAAAGATTGTGAATTATTATGTAGTTTTAGTTTGCATTATTCTCCTGAATTAGAAGAAGCTGATAACTATTGCATTCGTTAAACTGATTTGCATTACATTAGACTGCTGATTTATTGTGGATGAATGATATTGTTTTATGATGTTATAAGAAATACTGTTTGCAGAAAGTCATCGCCTTATTTGTCTGATTAGAAGAGAACAGAGCATACTGGAGTTTTCTGCCCCAACTCAGCAGGAGCAGATAAACGGGGAGCCAAGGTCGTAGCTTAGGCGCCGTGTGAGAGAAAAGCATGTGAATGTTTAGGCTTTTATGATAAGGTGGGAGAACCAGAGGCTATACGAGTTTGAGCAATGCTCCACCATTTGGAGATCTGAGGCTGTCTGCATACGGTGTCCATCTCCCACGCGTGTGTTCATTAAAATCATCGTTTGACTCAACCCGGCCGGACCAGTGTTGTTATTGTGGTTTTTTCTCTTGTCTCCATCCCCAATATTTTGAACCATAACACTCTGCACCTAGTTGGTGACCTCTGTGCGCCTCAGTACCTGCTGACCCCGTTCTGTGATTTTATGTGGCCTACCACTTCATGGGTGTTGTTCAAAAATCACTTTCACATAATACTGCTATCAGCCTGGAAGTGACTGGAACACATCAGAATCTGAGCAATGTTTCCTGCACCCCGATGAATTTATGCCACAAAGAATTAAGGTAGCACCAAAGACAAAAGGAGGTCCAACAAGGTACTCGCACTTTGAATGGTCAGAGTAGAAAGCACTATATAGAAGTATTGGTATAAAAGTAGCTGTCCATTTGCCAAGTATCTATTTAAGCGTCTAGTACAGGGGTGGGCAACTCCAGGCCTCGAGTGCTGGTGTCCTGCAGGTTTTAGATCTCACCCTGCGTCAACACATGTGAATCAAATGATTGTTCATTACCAAGCCTCTGGAGAACTTCAAGACATGTTGAGGAGAACATTTAACAATTTGAATCAGCTGTGTTGGGTCAAGGACACATCTAAAACCTGCAGGACACCGGCACTCGAGGCCTGGAGTTGCCTACCCCTGGTCTAGCATGTGCATTTCCCATCTAGTGTCCTTTTCTTCCCAGTTTCATTTCCCCTTCATTTGCTCACTCGACTGTATAAAGACACAAAATCAGACTGAGATGAGTTTGTCGTTTATTGAAACTTTCCATTGAATAAACACAGCAGGGGGAATTGGGTTGGGGATGTCTCCATAGCAACAAGTCACACACATCATCACTGTCAACACCATCGCCATGGTTACTGATGCCGGGTAGACTATTGTGACACAAGAGGACACATCACAGAGGTGAAGAAGAGGATGATGAAGAATAAAGAGGGAGGGTAAAAAAAAAAACAAGGAAAGAAAGAAAAGTGAATGGAGGAGAATTAAAAGCATAAAAGATGAGAGAAAGGATAAAAAGAGCCAATGAAGTGGTATGGACAGGTAATGGTCTCACACACACAAACACACACGCGCACACACACAGGAAACAGGAAGTAGAATCACACTGATCTTCAGATACTGAACGACACGAGCAGTAAACACGTCACCATGCGGGAGGAAGATACCGACGCTAAAAACAGCTTCACTTTCAAGAAAAACAACCCAAGAAGAAGAAGAAGAGGAAGAAGCATCACTTTTTTATAGACCCAGAACTTTCCAGAAAGACTCGATTGGCTAACAGAAGACAAATTAAAATAAATTTAAAAAACAATTGCAACATTTCAAAGTAGCTCGCTGACAGAAGCATCCATCTGAAGATTTAAGCCAATAACTGAGATCAACATGTAAGTCATGGAGGAATCTTAACTGAATTTTGTGCTCTGAATTTTCACATCGCCACCATTTAGAATGGGAAAAGTGAGTTTCCAAGTGGGGAAATTTACCCCCATCAAGGTGGAAAAACTCCAAGAAACCAGTCATCTAAAATTTTGGTCTGCCATTGAGTTGTTGATGCCACAAATGTAGACTCATAGCACAACAACTTGTATCAGGATGTAATCATCAGCTGCTGTCTGCATAGAAACCGTTTCCAGGTAAAGATATTTATCGGGTACTGGAAACAGCTGTTGCTTAAAACCTCTGATCTTTGTGATCAAAGCAAAGTCAGAGGCTTTGCAAAGTCAGTCCAAATAATTATCCCATACTTAGTCTTCCATTCATTTGTCTCTTTTTAGGCTCCCCGCCTCCAAAAGCCCACCTTCACTTTCTAATTGGTTTAAATCTGGAAGCCCTTTGAGGGGCAGTGAACTGTACTGCCTGCTCCTGATGGGCGTTTCCGTTGCATCATAGCAGTACATTGAAATCATCAGATTGGTCTTAGCCGAGTTTAGACCCAAAGTAGAAGCCAGTAGAATCAGATCTGGCTTAGTTTTAGTGGCGGTGATCGTCCAGATGGACGTTTCTGCAGCTGGAATGTAACACACAGCAGATCGAAGCTCGGCTGAGCCCATTAAACACATAAACTGTGCAAACTGTAATGACGAGGGGCCATTTTGGATCCAGTTTCCACCGGGCGTCACTGTGATGCTGTAGGCCGGACTGGGTTTTACTATGTGCTCAAATTGACATCACTTCCTGTTTGATATTTACATGCAGCGGGGAGGTGATGTTGGCAGACGCTCTGTTAGTTTGTTTAATGTGGTTCTCATTTTGGTTTAAATCTGGTTTTCATTGGATTTTTCTCAGTGTGGACCCAGTCTCAACAGCTTCAAGATTGGCTGGTGTGAATCTGTTTTGCTGATGTAAGGAGGCGGGGCATAAAACTTTGGGCAGGGCAGCTCAATAGGAAACAGGAAACATTTCAGTCTATATTATATATCTGTTCATAGTGATATCTATACAACACAAACATACATTCTCTCCACAGATTAATTAATATGAATAACTCTTATCAACATCGTCACTGGTTTCAGGTTTCTATTCGTCACCGATGTCTTGGTGGATTCTTCAAGTTGTGGATTTATTATCTATAACTCTCTTTTTTAGTCATTTACACATCAATTCATTATAGTGAACATCTAACCCCCCCTTTCCCCTCATCCCTCCCCCACCCCACCCATTAACTTTGCAGCCAGGAGTGTCACATTGTGGGTTGGTTGCAAGCGACCCACTGTTGGTTCACTCCGACTTGTCCTGTGAAGGTAAGACAAATGGAAAAAATCTGATTAAATAAATAAAAGCTGCTGGCTTTTTTCAAATGACCTTCATTCACCGACGAGTCTTTTTGAAAAAGCAACATTAACCTCGAGTTTAATGTTTTGCGTCAGTGACTAAAAACTAATCCCCATCCTGGAGAAACCAGAAACAAAAATACAATATTTAATCTTTAAAATTTACAGTCAAATCCCTAAAAATAGCGAGAGAAAATAAACGATGACATCTTAGTCCCCCTATAGAGCCCCAAACATTTCACAACATTCCTACGCATGAATATGAAGCTTTACATTCATGATTGTTTCAATAAATACACAGCAGATGAACACAGTATTAGCTCACACATTTAAAGATGTGAAAAAACATTCTGATAGAGGTCCTTGGGTTTGGTTGGCAAAATTGCAGTTCCATTAATGGCCACTTGAGGCAGACTCCAAAAATCCCCAGAGACTGCTGTGTTAAAGTGTCCGGCTTCACATCAGTAAAATAAAAATAAAGTAAAAATCATGTTTAGAGCCTGGTACAAAGCCTGAGCATTCATTAAATATATTTTTGGATATTGTGATGGAACAGTGGAGAGCAGACAGGAAATCTAGGAGAAAAATGAGGGGGAAGATGAACAGTAAGTGGCCTTTAGGTGGATTCCACTCTGGACCTTTGTATTAGCCTTATGGTGTATGGGTTACTTACTCAACCTGGTAAACTGAACTGGGACTCTCTTGTATTTTTAACTAAACTGAGAAATATGATGGCTCGATGTGAGGGATGTGCCATCAAGAGGTTTGCTCTTCAGTTTTGGTGAGTGAAATTCTAGTGTTTTATTAGTCTGTTAATAATTGGAAGATATCTGTGTGCATGCTTTGCACCTAGCTGATGTCGTCGTACTGCAACCTCAGTTTTAAATATGGAAACTTCTGACTCCAAGAAACAGAAATTATAGGGCCCAACATACTAAAAGTGATGCTTCAAATTGAACCTTCAACTTAAACGCAGCAAGGAGGCATTCACTAAGCCTCCACAATCTCACCTTCTTCCTGTCAGCTCACATCTGGTTGGAGAAGGAGGTGGGCGCCCCCTGCTGGCCATAGCCCTGACCATACTGCGCTTCCTGGATGACAAAAAATAAAAAATAAAAAAAATACATAGGATGAATTCAGTTTTCTTGATTAATGATCACTTATTTTGTATGTAAAATGTCAGACTCAAAGACTAAAATTCAATGGGCAGCAAAGTGTTTCTGTTTTAAACAATTATCATATACATTAATTATCACATATAATGTAATTAACTGACCCATCATCTGAATAGCAGATGTTAGAGATGTCTGTTCTGATCAAACAGGTCATCAGGAGATAAATTATGTTTCAACCAAAATCAAATTACCGAGTCACAAAGCTTCAGCTAAACTCTTCCCTTGAGGTTCCAGGTTTGACGTTACCAGCATCATCAGTGCGTCTGCTCACCTGGTTGTATCCCTGCTGGCTGTAGTCAGGTTGGTAGCCTCCCTGGTTGCTGGCATATGGGTCTTGCTCATAGGCTCCCTGCTGGCCGTAGGCATCGGGTGCGGCAGGCTTGCTCTCAGGAGGCGGAGCCCGCATGAAGGGAGCGATGATGCCCGTCTCCTTAAAGACGAACCAGAGGTTTCCAACCCACAGGATCAGGTTAATGAAACCAAATGCCTGCAAGAGGAGAAGCTGAGGGTTATCACGTCATTCTCTGTTACCAAATTCAGATTCTGATAGAAGTGCCAAGAGCTGCACTTCCTCCAATGGCCACTTCTGCAAAACCTAGTCAATCCCAATAGACTCCCATGTTAAAATAGCTTAGAACTTTGCAGTTGAATGCATCAGTATTTTTTTTTTATATAGCACCGATTCACAACAGTCACCTCAAGGTGACCTCAAGGCAAAAACCCTACAATATTAGAAACAAACCCCAAAAGACAGACGACCTATGAGCACTTGGCCGCTTGGCAACAGTGGGAAGGAAAAACTCCCTTTTGACAGGAAGAATCCGCTGGCAGAACGATCGAGGGCTGCGACAGCTTAGGAGTGAGAAGAGGCAGGCAGGACAAAAGACAGAAATTCACCTGTTTTAGGTGAATGGGGATAACTCGGCCATTTAAAGTATATTATGGCTTTAAGTTTTGCATTATTGGGGTTGAGGCCTCACTGAGTGACTAAATATAGCAAATGCAGTCTTCAGTGCTTTAAGAGTTTCTTTCAGCTCCAAGAGGTTCCCAAATCCACCCTCATTTGATAAAGAACTGATTTTGTTTTCTTTTTTTTTTTTTAATGCCTTCTACCATCCAAAGTACAAACAATAACTGAAAATAAACTGTATTCATTAGCTTAAGTTAGCATCCTGATTAATAAAAGTAAATCATGGAGGCACCTTGAAATTTAGGGGCATAAAGTTTTTTTTCTTCACGTATTTAGGTTACAGTAACAGGGAGCAGGGTTGATGGTGAAGACGAAAAGAACAAGATCAAAATCAACATCCTGTGTCACGATCAATCATCTAAAGCAACCGACAGCGCACAAGATAGGTGAAGAGGAGCAGGAGTGACAGAAGGGTAGCAGCAAGAGAGAAAGGGGAGATGGTAATGACACCTGCTATACTGTATGGTTTGGAGACAGTGGCACTGACAGCAAGACAGGAGGTCGAGCTGGGTGTGACCAAGATTAGAAAGGAGTCCATCAGAGGGACGGCTCAGGTCGAGCGGTTTGGACACAAAGTCCTAGAGGCAAAGCTGAGAGGGTTTGGGCACGTACACTGATCGACTGGATTTTTAAGATGGAGCTGCTAGGTAGGGGGAAAAGAGGACGACCTCAGAGAAGATCTATGGTTCTAGTGAAAGAGGACATGCAGAGGGTTGATGTGGCGGAGCAGGAGGAGGATGCTATGGATAGGGTCAGATGGAGGAAGATAATCCATTAAAGCGAAAGGTAGAAAGGAAGAGGAGGAAAAGAAGGAGGACAACAAAGTGCGAGTGCCCCGTCAGCAGTTACTTCATCAGTACAAAAACAGCCAAGTGTGAAATCTGTCTTACTTTAAGACAGAATTAAACATTTATGTCACTGACCTGAAACAAGTGAATTTAAACCCATCTTCAATAAACAGAGAGTTTGATCCAGCACCAGTTTTCTTTATAATCCGGTGCTAAACGTGTCATTGTTATTTAGTTTATGTCATTTAGTTGACATTATATCTGAAATCTTGCTTCTTTGACATGTTGAATTTTTTTTTTTTAATCTCTCATTAATCTTAAGCTCGAGTTGAAGACTACTGGACTTCTGTTCTAACTGCTCATGAGTTCCTCTTGAGGCGCTGTTATGAGCCAGGTCATTGTTTCCGTGTGGTACTGTCACTCACCACACCAGAGGGGGGCGTTGTTTGTACTCTGTGATGTTTGTGCTATGTAAGTTTCCAGGTGGAGGCTGACCATCGGGGGAAGATGGAATGAGGCCGGCTACAAATTGGGACCTGACTAGGCCGGCAGCCCCTCCTGCTTCCTGTTTCCAGCGAGCTGCGTGTTTGGCCCCGTGTGCTGTGTGACTGAGTTTTCCGGGATGAGAGGCGCTAGACTGCAGTGTAAACGGTGTAAAAAGACCTCTAACTGGACATGGTAGCTGTAGGGGTGGGAAGACTTTTCTTTTTAGAACCTTTTTCTCCTGTTTTGGTTAGTGAAGACAGGTAAGAGGCTTGTATTTTCTTTTGTGGTTTTATCACTATAGGTAAGTTAGTTCTGGTTTATTTCTAGTGTGTTTTGTTTGTTGTTTTGGCCATGCCCACCCTGACGCTCATTACCTGTCCAGTTAATAAAACGACTAGTCATTGTAAAGCCGTGGCTGTGTGATTGACTTCTTTGCGATCTTTTTTTGCTTTCCTCATGTTGCACTCCGGCTCGAGGCCGGTGTGTAACAGGCGCCGTCACTTTGGACATGGTCCCGAGAGTCTCTTACCTACTCTGTCATCAGGCGAGTCGTCAGGGTCACACCTTGGCTCATGTGAAAGAAGTCCAATTTCTTTTTACTCGAGTGCTTAAGACTCTCGTGCCCTGGATGACTCAGAACCTACAGACATTTCTCAGTAATATTCTGTGCGGGTCAGTACTGACATTCTAGTATTGTAGTATCCATGAACTTTCCCCGTCCTATGGCAAGACTCAGATGTGCCCAGGCCCAGTGAAAGTCTTACCACAGAGGTGTTCAATCCAGACATAACCGGGTCGTGGACTTCACGGCAGCTGTTCTCATCCTCTTTACAGGCGGGGATCATAGTGATGACTTCATCCGGGTTGGTCGCAGTCTTTACGTCGGACAGACCTTTGGCCCAGGCTGCCGAACTCACCAGCCACATGAAGGCAAACACTCCGGTGACTCCCAGGTCCTGAAACGGCACAAAGACAGAGTGAGGGAGGTTATTCAGAGGTCAACTGGGAAGTCGGGTGGCTGTACTTACGATCAGTGGGCCCTTGTTGTTCTCCTTGTACTTTTCAAAGAAGAAGACGTAAATGCTGAGAGCCGCCGTAGAGTACAGGAAGGCGAAGACGCCGATGGTGACAAAGAATTCGGCCGAGGAGGAGTAGTCGCCAACCAGGAAAATCGGTTCTTTATTCTCAGACTTACAGGTGGGGGCATGAAAATACTCCTGGTGGAGTCTGACAGAGGAGTTTAAAGTTATTGAAGGTGAAGCTAAAGTGAAAAATACAACATTTGGTTCAGACATTGGTGACCAACAAGAACTAATACACAGTTAATAACTTTAGAGCTCCGACAGTCACACCATCTGGTCAAAACACCCCTCAAAGCTTTGGACCCAGGGGTCCTGCCTGAGGAACATTTATAAATAAAATTGAGCTGAAAGAAGTTTAAACATTTAATTTTTTATTTAATATTTTTTAGCTTCAGAGTTTATGGCGTCTGTGCGTGTTCTGACCTGAAGGGATACTCAAACTCCACTTCTATTTTCAGGTCGCTCTGCGTCCGGTTCTTGCACTCCACCGCAATCTTGAACATCCCGGAATAACTGCCACAGGTGGAGAAGGCGAAGATGGCGAAGAACTGGGGGAGGAAGAAGGAGGAGCAACAACACATCACAAGCATTACTCGCAGCAGTGGTATCCTCCTGTATGTGGCATAGCACAGCATTTTCATCTCACTCCTAAAGTTGTTCCAGGTTCTAATTTCCATTTCCTTTTAGTCTGACCAAAATCCAAAACACGATGTATTCGTGGTTTTGCACAGAGGTCACTCTGTTTGACTCAGACTAGAAAAATAAAAATCATGATTATATCACAAAGAGACTGAAGACTTATTTGCCTCCAAGAGGAGAAGCTGTGTTTTTGTAGAGAAGGTTATTTAGGTTCATTAGGACGGCTTAATTAATTTTTTTATTGATAAATAAATAAATTCAGCACTTGCAGGCAGATTTTTACAATTGCTCAAATATTGCACTGAATTTAGCAACACTAAACTGTTACATGCATTTATAGACTCTCTTTAGGATGAAGAAACTGACATGACTGTGTCACCTGACCTTTGACCTGCAAACAGCATCCTCAGTAAAAACAATTTTTCATGGCCGTGACCTTCCTGTGGCTAAAAATTGCTGCTATTTTTTTTAAATACATATAAATGCAGTTCTGCTGAAGCAGAGGAGGCGCTGGCTCCTGCAGGATGATGACTCATCGTCACGTCTATGTTTAGCGACTCATTGCGAAGCTTTGCATATCAGACAGGAACCGAACCAACAACTGCCTCGGCCTCACAGAGCTGTGCACAGCGGCCTGATGAAAACAGGCTTCACGTTGAGTCAGCGGGAGGAACTTGGTGACGTTTTTATGTGTGATGTCACTGATTTCCCCACCTGCTACAGAACGTGGAGGAAAGTGAAACCAGGGTCATCATTAAGATGTTCGCAGCCTTGCGTGATTTACATGCAGGAAGATCCAGATTTATTTTCATCGTCTTGTATCCAGGAGTCAAAGTTTAAACTCCTGTATGATGTGGTTTGTAAGGAGGTCTGCAGTTTTTACTAGTTTTTATTTTTTTTAATATCCAGACCCCTTATAGTCCCCAATCATGGGGCGACCACTCTACCTACTGAGCTATCCCTGCCCTGTGATTGGGGGCAGGGATTTTGTGATTGTTCTGCTTTTACCTGCTGATAACTAAAAACCTGACACTCAGCACACCTACTTTGAACCAGGGTAGATATGTTACTGTGCAAAAGAAAGTGCAAAAAACAAAAAAGTGTGCACATCTAAGAAGAAACAGGCTTGATACCAGACCATTGTTGGAACAAATTGTTGCCAAAAAGATCCCACTTGTGCTCCCGCTTTCCCACTAGTGTCACAACTAGAGTCCCAAAAAGTGTCCCTGCTTTTCTACAGTTGTTGCCACATCTGTGATGCTCTTCTAGCCAACACTCAGACACGTGTGAGGACCAGCCGTGAGGCTCAAACAGCCTGATGAACCGCTGCTTCGACTGTCCCCATTTCCCTATAAATTTGCCATAAAACATCCACACAATTCTGAAAATTCACACTTGGTCCTCGCAAGGAGGCTGCATGAACCCACATCCACGTTGCCAAGTAGGGATTGGGCCGTCTGACTGTGACCATCTGCTCAGTCAGTGTGTGGGTGTGCGATATTTAATACCATACATACAGTACTGAGAGCTGAAGCTGTTACATCACTTCCCATCCAGCCTTCGGCATCTCAGTGGAATTTGTGAATAAGCCATTTCCTTGTTGTCTGAAGGTTTAGAAAAGGTTTTATGTTTTCAGACTTGTTTTATAGAGTTGATCTGACAATGTGATACAACATATATATGAAGTTAAGTCAACATGCGCCCTGTCAGCCAGTGTGTGAAGGTCAGCCTGGACTGAGATTTAACAGGGTTTTTTTTGGGACGTCCATCTAACTAAACGCTCACATTTAATCTGAGGTATTGAGGCACACTGGCTGAGACCTCCCATGCTTTATTCCCCATTTCTCTTGGTGAAGCAACCAGTGATCTCCACAGACAGCACTTTCAACAGGATCTGTAATCACTGACGAAGCTATCAGTGTCCGATCTCTCCTACCTGCTAATTAAATCATTAGGACAACCGATCTATGTCTATGCTTGTTTTCAATCTTCACAGATGTCTGTACCTGAGACCCTCTGTTATCAATGTGAGATGTTGAAACTGTTACATATACCACATGAACATCGCTGCTGCTAAAAATATGATCATATTATAAACAAAGAACCACGACCAGGGATTCTTTTGACGAGTCTGGTGTGAAAATGTAAATAAAAGGAGGCTAAAGAGCTTGGAAAGAAAAAGCGTCTGGACTTCTTTAAGTTGCTTGAAGACGTTTTACCTCTCATCTGAGAAGCTTCTTCAGTTCTAAGGTCAATCCCCCCAAAGAGGGACAAAAGGACCCCCCCCCCCCCCTGTTTTCAGGACCCAGGACCCACACCTGTTTTCACACCTTGGCTCAAGTGATTAGGTAGAGGATCATCAGGAGGTCCTTTTGTCCCTCTTTGAGGGGATTGACCTTAGAACTGAAGAAGCTTCTTGGATGAGAGGTGAAACGTCTTCAAGCAACTTAAAGTCCAGACGCTTTTTCTTTCCAAGCTCCTTAGACTATGATGACCTGGATGACTGAGAAACTTCACAGACATAAATAAAAGGAGACGTTTTATATGCTAAAGGTTGTTTTGAGCAGATACTTATATCAGATGATGAAATGACTCCTGAAATTTCACTGAAAATTCATTTTAAGTTGTTTTTTTCCCCCCACAGTGAACAATCATAAATCAGATCAAACGACCAGGAGTACCGATGCTTCTTTCTGCTACTGTAACATATTTTAAACTATGATACATCCCATGATGCTGAAGCTCACTGAGTTTTTTGTAATGAAAACTTTAATACGTCTGAAAAATTCATGTGTATATCTCCTGCATCTATGAAGTTATGAGGTCCCTAAAATGTTTTTAAAAACCCTCCGGACTGAGCTGATGTATGAGGTTTTATCCACAACGAAAAACCAAAAGAAGAGCGAGTTGAGGGGGAGGGGATTTCAATCTCCCTACAGCGCCCCCTGCTGTGTGGATGCTGGCATCTACAATTTATTTCAAAATAAAACCAGAAGGTTAGCTAGGAGCTGAATCATACCTGCAGTTAGTGAACTTTTAGCAGCTTAAAGGCTACAAACATAGAATAAAACTGATACAGTAAGATTTTTATGTTTTATTATATGTTTTTATTACAAGTCATGAATGCGTACTTTAAATATTAACATTAAAGCTGATCAGCTGTTAAACAGAAGAAAATTATTCGTTCATACATGATCATGGATATGTGTGAATTGTGCTTTCATCTAAGGTGAACCATTAAACTCTGATGGTGTATGATGTTTCTGAGCTTTAAACAGGAACGTGAACTCAGCTCCGGGAGTTATACGTCCTTAAAAACTCTGGAGGATACGGTGCATCTGTGCTGTGGTTGCAGGTTTTTGTGGTGCAGCTGTTGGTCTGATGAACTCACCCATTCTAGGACCTTAATGAAGCCCAGAGGAACCTTCAGCACCCTGAACTGACCCTGGGCCACCAGCTGCAGACAGAAAGACACACACTGGTTAATTATGTTCATCCGAGCAGCCTGACGAAAGACGAGCACGCGGATCTCCTGCTGTCAGGAGCACTTTCACTCAGGGCCAGAACATCATAAACAGCAGCATCATTTCTGCTAAATGAAACATTTGGAAGAAAACTTTAAAACCATCCTAGAAAAACAAAAACAAGCAAACCAACACCTACAGAGATGCTAGGTGGCAGAGAGGAGGGTCAGCGTGGTTTCATGGACTTATTTCTATTAACCATCAACGACATGTTTAGACTTTCATCAAGAGAAACTTTGAGCTCAACTGTTGTTATCAATAATAACAATTCACTGAGAATATTGGCAACATTAAAAAACATTCCCATCATACCGAGTCAGCTGACTTAATGAATGATTCAGACTGCAGGTCTAAAATGCAGACACTGGGAGTGGAGAGGAGACCGTCATGATAATCTCATCATGCAATAAGCGACAGAATTTATCTGCATATAACATTTTTGTATGCATGTTATTCACAACTGCACAACAAAGTTTCTTTATTGCAATAATCTGAACAGCTTTTCTTACGTTGTAGGAGACGATCTAACTGCACATGGAAACCCGCAGTTTGCTGTGTAATAGTCCTTCAGTCTTAATGATCCTTGCATATGTTTCTGGATGTTAAAATGATTTTCTCACCACTTCATTTCAGCTTTAATGAAAAAATCTGGACTCATTTTCACTGATCGGGAGAAGATTTGTTGTGCAGGGAAATTTTAAAAATGTCAGAGAACAACTTTGTTCTGATTCCAGAGCGTTTCAGGGACGTTATTCTACACGCAGGAATGAAGAAAAACTGGCAAATGTTTTTGGATCGTTTGAAAAACATTTGGAACAATTCAACGAAGAAATCTTCAGAATTAACAGAATTGGATGTGAATGACTTAACAGATTTCAAATGATTTTTGAGACTTTGATAATTATCCAATTACTTGAGAACAAATGCATAAAATTCTTTAAACAGTGCAAAAATCATTGCCAGATTATCTGAAATCATCATCTCTTTTTCTGGGAACACTTTCATGTTTCAGCTTTTTGGCAATGACTCAGTCACTGCTTTGATTATTCTTCATTTAAAATGAGTTAAACATGTACCTAAACATGAATTATAATGCGTTCAGTGTCACAATCCTTCATTTTAAATTGAACTTTAAAATCTTCATTTCAGATTTAAATACACATCAAGCACATCTTGCAAACAGACAGCATCATGCACCGTGTTCAAACAAACAGATCCATTCTTCCTCTCAGATTTCAACCTGCTGCTCGGCTCGTGGGATATTCAACACTCGCATAAAGGTGCCAAGGATAAGGTATTAAACAGGCTTTAGGGATATTATAGTATTACATTCATTACCAAACATAACTGCAGACACACTTATGGCTCAATAAAAGAATAAAAACAAGCAAAAAGTTGTTTTTGTAATCAAATACAGTTAATTTCACTTTATTCACTTATTACTTTAAAAGGTTCTGTTTAATAATCAAAGTACTTCCAGTAAATTTTTATTTTATTGTATATTGTGACTTTACATTATAAAGTACCTTGAGACACATGTGGTGAACTGGCACTACTTTATATAAAACCAAAAAAGGGATTGTAAGCTTATTTTATTAGGACTATAACACTGTCTCTGAGGTTGGTTATGACAGGCCGCCAATCTGACGCAGGGCTAATGAAAATATAATGAAGTAAAAATGAACAACAATGGAAAAACAGGAATTTATAGAATGCTTTTGCCTTCACTTTATATGCAGACATATTCCAGAAATGAAAGAGTGAAGACTGAAAGACTCAAATGTTGCAGATAACAGTTTAAAGCAGAATAAAAATGCACGAGATCCTTAACCGCAAATAGTAATTAATTAAATGCTGATATTTTAAACTGATGAACACTCAGACGGCGCTGAGGTCGACTCAGACTTCTAGGAGTTTTGCACTGGTCTGCCTGAGCGGGCTCATCTCAGGAGGAGTGATGCCAGAATCTGTTGTTAACATCCAATAAAACCAGCCAGCAGAGCTGAAATGATTGTTTACTGACTGAGACTCTGACAGTAGGAGGGAACATCGTTCAGTTGTTACCTTTCACAGTTAAACTGGATCTTTATCGAATAAAGGTATTCCCTTTTCAGTATTTGTTTACATTCAAAAGAAGCTACAGGAACAGTCAGTAAACACATGAATCTCATGGATAACTGACTGACACGCTTCAGTGTGCGAGACGGGAATTTGCTCCGTCTCCATTGGTGGACGTGCAGTACGGGAAGCTCCACAGGGGACTGAGCCGTCTCCATTCCTGTTCACCTCGTACCTGCGACATCAGAGCTGAATAAACTGATCAGGAAGGCGGGTCTGTGATTGGCTGCAGAGTGGACACATTTATCCACACATTTAGCAGACAAACCGCCGATTTCATTTTAAAAAGTGATGCACAGCACAGTAATTTAGTCTCCATGGCAATGTGCCACTCTCCACCATGTTGTGAAGTTCTTTGCTTGGCACTTTGTGCGTTCCTGCTGAAACACCAGCACCATTTAATCGGCAGCTTTAAAATAAAATGGCTTCTCAAACTAGAGTCTGTTCGTCCCACCAGACCAGAATCCCAACCTTTTGCACACCTACAGGTCATAAAAAAAATTCCCCGACTTTGCTTCTCTTCAGGTAAAAACATTTCTTTCATTATTTTACAGATGTTCCCCATCCAACACAGACCACAGATCAGAGTTCCCAAAGGCTGTGGCACATGGGTGAGCCTCGGGACTTTGTGTCCTGCACCCACCAGTGCTACCCCTCAGCCTCCTAACAGACACAGCTACGGTAACAATTTCAAAATCCTATGTGGCCCTGCTCTCAAGTTTCACCAAGTTTTTCACCTTAAGGTCGAGGTCACCGAGACTCGAACTCGTGAATGGTTGTTAGTAAATGGGCTAATATGTTGCCTCATTCTGCATTCGCAAACTTCCATGCTGCTCGCCCGCCCGTCAGTGAGACGACAATGCCCCATCAGCCTTTTACAGCCGAGGGGTAAAAAGGTCACAAGCTCAGAGGAGGATAACCAGATACTGCAGCCATGCAAACTGCAGTGCCGTCATCTGACCATGTAATCAAGAGCAGAGCTGAAAACATATAAAAGATATGAAATCCATTTCCCACAAATATGAAATTTTGGACAACGTGCTTGAATACCACCTCCACAAACAATAGTGCACTCCTTTGAGATCTAAAATAGACTGCGCAGGATCATAGCCACGGGTTTTGGACTCATTTGTAGCCATCTGGTTGCAGATGGTAAGTGTTTGCTTTCTGGGATGTGGTTAACATGGCACAAAGCTATTTTATTATATTTTTTTCAACCTCAAAACAAGATCTTTTTTGTCAAAAACAAGTGTGAAAATGGTGAACATACACATCCTTCAGCCTTTACCCTTCCTCACCTGGAGAGATTCTTCTTCTGAAGCACATCCCAGCACGCTGAAAAAAAGACTAGAGTACTGCTAGACTGTTAAATTTAATGCACTGGGAGTACGAATGTGTTTTTAAACCACCATCATGTCAAACACATGCTGTGATGGGCCTGAAAGGTAGCTCAGCTTTACCGGCAAAAACCCCCCAAAAACAGGAGCATCAGCTAGAAATGTGTGAAACTGGACATCTGTACGGCTGCTGTGGTCTGTAATAAAAAGCATTTCTGAGCTCCTGATTTTTTATTTTGTGCATCGTGTGAATATTAAAACATTAAAGGGGACCCATTTTTTCCTCATGTCCAACGCCATATTTTTATTGTTGGACACTAGTAGAGTGACTGTGCAAGATTCACAGAGTTCACAATGGTCCTTTTATGAGAAACAATCCAGCCTTATGTGCCTCCCCTTTGACCAAAACGGAATATTTGGTTGGGCCTCTGTGCTGGCAGCCAGAGCAGACCGTATCAGGGATTTCCCCTCTTTATGATACAAACAAGCCAAGAGCAGAAAAAAAAGCCCTCACACCAAATGTTTCAGAGGTTCTCCTTCACAGAGATCATCACATAGGCTCAACTGGCCATATTTAATCAGAGTGTAACATTTATTCATGACAGAGTCAGGAAAACCAAATGTTTCAGTTATATTTTTACATTAAAACATAGAAATCGAGGATTTAAGAGTTTTCTGATTTTAATTGGTTCGTTTTAACCACCACAAGTCCATAAAAAATATTAAAGACGAAACGAGCAGTAACATCTGTAACACTTGTAATAATGCTGCCCCCTGGTGGTGGACATGGTTAAATTCTGCAGTGGGAAACTACAAAAACTGCGTTTAAACGGAGGGACGTAAAATTCTGGAGTTTGTTAGCGTAACACAGAACACTCAGATATGACATCATTAATTAAATGCAAGCGATCAAAGAGGCCGACAGAAGTCAGCTTTGGACTGAAATCACGTTTGACACAGAGCAGCTTTCATCAGCTTTCCCGGGCTTTTTTCTCCTCTGTAGTTTAAAACAGTAAAAATAAAGCGGCGGTGAAACAACAGCTGGATATGAAATATCGGGCTGTGATAGAAACTAACGGCGAAGCAATGCTGGCTTTTCTCTCGGTCTCCATCTTAAAAGGTAGCTGATGAAGGAGAGGAGGAGAAGGGGTGGGAGGAAGAGGAGGAGCAGCTGAATCATCTGGGTGAACCCGCTTAGACCCGGGTTAAATAACGCGGATCAGGTAGAAGGAAAACGGCGAGAGAAAAACAGATCCGGGCAGACCCGCAACATCATCAGCATCAGCATCCCGAGCAGAGAGGACGCCCTCCCCCTCCCCCCCCGGCTGCCATTTTACAAGCCCAGACACACACACACACACACACACACACACACACACACACACACACACACACACAGAGCATTTCATCACGGGCGCACGGGGCTGCTGATATTTTCATGTTTGTGCGTTTTTGTTTCGGGCCTCCTGCAGACACCGTGGCGCAGGGATGGAAACCCCAGACAGCCACTCCTGTTTCCAAACCTCCCGCAGTCCGCCTCACATCCCCCTCCCTCCCACACACACACACAGTGGTACAAACACACAAACATATGGACCACCATGAAGAACCGAGCCCGGTCCGGAGAGCCTCTCCCCTCCGTCTCTCCATGTCCTCCTCCCGGGCATCCTCCGCCAGCTGTCGGAGCTGCCTCCTGCGGCCGACACGGAGATGCTTTACCGGGAGGCAAAATGCATACAAATTCCGAACCGAAACACGAACACAACCCGAACCCACAGCTGATCAACCCGCAGCAGACAGGTGAAATATATATATATATATATATATATATAAAAGGCGGATGTGGAGTGTTTGTACCTGATTTACGACGTCCATCCTGCAGAGTGTCGAGAGGACCGAGAAGATCTGGGAGGGGGAAGGCGTGAGGGGGGTTGAGTGGAGGGGCCGGGACTGTGTCTGAGTCCACGACATCATTTTATTTACTATAAAAAAACAAGAACAAAGAAACATTTCAGATTAAAAAAAACAAACATTAAATATGATTATTAAAAAAAAAGATTTATTTTATTAAATTAAAAATTTAGCTTTTATTTCTTGGAGGGGGGGGGATTGCGTCATCACGGTAGAAGGTGGTGGTGACGTGCTTGTGATCATGTGACCCAATACGTGACGTATAAATGTGATCTGTAACGCAGATTTATATTTTTATAACATTAAAACAAAAACCTCAGCTCATAATTTGATTTAACAGTTAATTCAAATAAACATTTAATGCTTACACAATTTAGGAACCAATATATGTTACAAATACAAGTAGATCTTAATCCTGAATCATTCAGTGGCTTTAATTCAATTTTTGTCAAAGTTTAAAGCCAAATTTCTGACAGACATTCGTATTGCAGTGGCATTCATCCTGGTCCCTCTGTGCCTGTGGGAGCACTCCTATACAAATGTTCCAAAATGAAATTCAGAGTAGACAAGGAACTGTTCCCATCAGTATCCACATGTAGACTGAGGTATAAACAACATCTTTGACTGCATTATGGAGTTTCGATACAACAATAACTACTAATAATTATTTGATGCTAGCCACCTGATCACTTTTGGTTTTATGATACTGCAGCCATCCTGATGTCAGTCAGAAGTCATGTGAGTCTGATAATGACCACAGTTAACAAAAATGAACATTGTGCTGTATTCAGGAGTACTTTAAGCTAGGACTGATTTTATTCATACCATAGTCCGTGAGAGTCTAGGTCTATTTTCTCAGTCTACCAAGAAACTGCAAATATGAAGTCTTCTTTCATTTTTGCAGTTACTGGAGTCGCCCCCTGGTGGTCATTAAAAAGAATAAGACCCTGCCACTCAGAGGTCATTATGATTAACATCATCACTTGTTGATTTGTTGAGAGATTGCATTAAGCTAGACGACTGAAGTTCAAAAACATTTAGGTCACTTCAGTAAGTCGGTGCTTTTGAAAGATAGTTATATTTTTAAGTTAAAGTAACATTGATTGCATTTAGTGGAATGATTCATTTAAAAAAAATTGGCTCTTTATAAACTTCATTAACAACAACCATTTGCAAAAAATCATGTTCCTTTAATAAACTGTTGTACTCGTTTCCCTAAAACATGAAGAATTGTCGTGTGTCAAGACTTTTGCACAGCACAGTATCTTAAACAACCGTCACCCTGGTGTTCCAGCAGTACTCATCATGCAAAGTCACTGTTTAATCAATAAATAAAACCTCTAACAATCAGCACAGCTGGAAAGTGTGGTGCCGATTAAAGACACCACTTATGACTTCCTGCTATGGTGTGCACTACGCCCTTCACAGAAGAGAAGACACAGGCTTTAACCCGACCTGGTGCGTGCTGACCAAGAAGACAAGAAGTCTGCAAGAACCAAATGGTGCTGCTCATGAAGGGAGTAGTGTGTACAGGTGGTATGCTGTATTCATTTTATTCATTTTGAGGGGGAAGTTTTTACTGCATGGAGCTGTTGACCATGACGTCATAATTAAACCCATAAATGCTGATGTGCCAGACACTCATCAGTGTGTGCAAGCATCTCTGGTTAGCATTTTAACTCACTGGATTTGAATAAAAACAAACAAACAAACAAACAAAAAAAACCCTAAAACACTACGTACTCCCCTAAAGATATTACATAAAAATCACCTGTGAATTTAACGTCATATTAGCTCAAACATACTTTTCTGTCAAAACAAGGGCTTTTCAAAGTGACCCCAAATCTCAGAGTGGCAGTTTTTAAGTCAAAGGACAAACAATAAATTCTTGTAGCAATTAGCAGCATCATTTCAAACAGACTTGCAGGTGTGTCAGGATGGCACAGATCAGACAAATGAGTTGGAGAACACACCCAGCCCTTATATGACCTCCCCGCCCCTTCCCCTTCTCAAGATAATTTGGGCTGAAGTGACTCTAAAGAGGTAAAACCTCCAGCTGTTCCTAGATATGGTGGTTTATAGGCTTTATAAATACAGGAGAAGGTTTAAAGTGAAACAGATAAAGAGTAGAAAACATTTAAAACAACCAATCACACGCATATCTGCCAATGAGGAACCTGGAAGGTGGGGTTTTACGTGTGGTCATGTGGTATCCCTGGCAGAGGGAAGATTATGTCATGGCTTTCAGGTGGCACAGGTTTCCCTGACCTTTGTGCAACAATGGCAACAGGCTATGTCTGCTGGTTTGGTGTGTGTGTCATGGAAATGGCAACAGATGGAAATGGGCTGTTAATTCTGTTTGAATCAAATGAGCTAGCTGAGCTCCAGTTAGGGCTGAAAGATGGATTTTGAGTGAGTGATCCTTTCCATCCTTCCATCCTTCCTTCCTTCCTTCTTTCAACTGGAGCTCATCCTTCAGTCAGCCAGCAGAGGGAGCTCAGACCACATCAGACTGGGTCAGACCTGTCACTCCACACAGGTAGGTACAATAGTGACACATTTTGTTTCACAGGTAGGCCCTTGTAATATTTTATGCTACATGTTTTTGTAATGTTATTTTACAGTGGTGGGTTTTGATCTTTTGTAACAAACCCAACCTTCAAACAGAGTTTGGGCTTTTTCAAGATAAGATTGGGAAACTCTGAAGGATCTCAGTAATATGCATGTCTCTAACACAGACTGGGCAGTTGAAAAAATTCAGTCTGCATTTCATCCATACATTTGATGTCAAGACAACACTTGGAAGCTACTTTTCTGATGAGAATAAAAATATAAATTTATACTGCAGCATCCCCTATTTTAGCTGTGAGTTTATGCATCTCTACGTTTAACCACCAGGGTTGCTTCCAGGATTTTAGTGGGTGGGGGACCAAAAAGCATTCAAGGGGGAAACTCACTGAAAGCTCCAGGAGTTCTAAGGCACACAGCTCCTTATTCTATCAACACGCATTGAGAAAAATGTTTGCCCTGTAACAATACGGTGACCACACTAAAACACATTTAACACAAGATAATGGAGGTGACCAAAATGCAGTTTAGTTGCAACAATAAATACATCAGATTTCATTTAATATAGTCTGTACCTGCCCATGGACCGCAGGCAAAATGAACCAGTATCTGCATTTATTAAAAGGTATCTTTTTCCTCATGACAATGATGTTTCCGTGACAAATAGAAAATCAAATCAATGAAATTAAAAGTAAAAAATGTCCCACATATCCTTTGGTTTAAGTTCATTTTTACAACATGTTTTTGAAGCAGTGGACAAAGCCACTCTGAGAATTAACATACACCTATATTATTTATCATCATATATTTACAAAGGTGCATTGTTCAGATTCCTTTATTAGCATCCACATGCACAGCCATCTATCCTCACATGCATGTTTTCAAAAACAAACAAACAGATGAGCATAATGCGACTTAATGAAGAAGTAAAATAGTCATAAATAATTCACACAGCGTCAGGTAGGAGATCAAAGCCACAGTCTCTTTCTCTGAATGAGGCCTGCTGCAGGAAAGCTGCCGTGTTTATACAATGCTGTTCTGCACTTTGGGACTCGAAGCCGTGTCCAGAAGGAAGAATGACGCGAGCTGAGGCTGCAAGTCAACAAGTAAAATTGATCCAGCCGGTCTGGGTCCATCTGGGATTCACCAATCAGCCTGTTTGAATGAGAGAGTTTCTGCTCTTTACAGATAAATATTTAAACTATGACACAGAGGAAAGCAGAGTCAATATAAACACTATAATAATGAATAATTGTCCAAAATATTTAGAATACCATAAAATTTCAGCCCACACAAATATATCAACAGCAGTGATCACAAAACGGTGTATAACTGAACACAGTAGTGTGATCTTTAACCAGGTCTTCCCATTAACACCTGACCTGTCCAGAGGTTCAGTCAATGAGCTCGTCAATAGCTTCAATGCTAACATGTTAAATGTAATGGACACTATTGCTCCCATTAAGGTGAAGGTTATCTCTGGAAGGAAAAAGTCTCCATGGAGAAACTCCACACTGGTGAAAAATGAAAAAAGAGAGTGTAGGAAAGCTGAGCGCAGATGGAGAAAAACAAACCTCCAGGTTCATTATGACATTTATAAAGAGAAACTTCACAATTATAATTTACAACTGAGGAGTGCAAGGAGGTCCTACTTCTCTGACATCATCACCAAAAACAGTCATAATGCTCGGGTCGTATTTGCTACAGTTGACAGGCTAACAAACCCTCCTGTGTCAGTGGCAGCTGAACTTCGACAATGGCCTGCAATGACTTCGCCAAATTCTTCACAGAAAAAATCCAAAGACAAGCAGTTGGTACATCAACAGCAGATCCAGGATGTGTACTGTGTCCACCGAAAAACTGTTTAAACACCATGAAACAGTTTCAACCTATTAACAGCAAAGACCTGGAGGACATCTTAGGTCAACTGAACTCCTCCTCCTGCTGTTTAGATGTCCTAACAAGTTTTTTCAAAAAGGTCTCAAAGACTTTGGAGTCAGACCTGTTACAGATCGTCAACTTTTCTTTAATGTCAGGTGTGTTTCCAGAACCACTAAAAACTGCTGTAATTAAACCTATACTGAAAAAGGACAATCTTGACAAGACACAAATGAACAACTACAGGCCGATCTCAAATGTCCAATTTTTAAGTGAGATCATTGAAAAAGCAGTTTCTCAACAGCTCAATTACTTCTTAAAACAGAATAACTAAATGTATTCTGTTTTAACTAAAAGTAAAATGATTTTAAAATAGATTCTATATTCATTTGGAAGCCAGTGTAAGGAGGTCAGAACCAGATTAATATGTTCAAATGTTCTTTTACCAGTTAAAAACTGTGCTGCAGCATTCTGCACCAGTTGCAGGCGTGACAGAATGGCCTGGCCAGCCCCTGTTAAAAGGGATTTGCAGTAATCCAAGTGTGAGGTTATAAAAGCATGGATGACAGTTTCC